TCTGTGGGGGAAAAAACCATCACTTTAAGGACTCCTTGTTCTTTACACTGAAGATAGTTCTTAATGATATTGGCTATTGACTGTATGTTTGGGGTCAGTGTCCTGCTGCAGAAGGAATTTGGGGTCTGATGGTATGGTGTGATGGATAAGTATCTGCCTGTATTTCTCACTATTGAGGACACCATTGATCCTGACCAAATGTTGAAATTTATTTGCAGAAATGCAGCCCCAAACTTGCAAAGAACCACCATTATGCTATACTTTTGCCCGCAGACACTCATTATTGTACAACTCTCCAGTCCTTCACGAACAACTTGCCTCCTGCTACAGCCATTTGTCTGCATCCCAGTTCCTATGATTTCATGCATAGGATGTGGAAACAAGGCTAAGTGACTCAACTATGCACGAAAACTATGCCTTTCAGTATTTTTACTGCAAAAAATCCACTAGAGTACTATATGAAGTTGGAAAGCAACAGAGTTTTCCCATGCTTGAGCACATAATAGCACATTAGGTGCTATATAAACAGTGGTGTATCCAGGGTATGGAATGTATGGCCAGTGCCCTGGGTGCCACTGAAAGGGGGGATGCTTGAGTGTGCTAGAGCAGCCCAGTAAATTTGTTAGCACTCAATAAGTACTTCCATGAGATTAGAAGATCAAAAGCACCCTTATTTTATTGTGAAATCCAGAATTTTCCAGAATCCTCTATTTAATGGAGTCTCACAGCGTCATGTGTTTCCTTGGTGCAGGCATGGGGGTGGGTTGCCTGCCACAAGTAGTGAGGTGCAGCCCTGGCAGAAGCGATGGGGTTAATCTGTGCTGTTATTTTCCCTCTTAATAGTTACATAGTTTGTCTGGCTGAAAAAAGACAAAAGTCCATCCAGTTCAACCAGTAAACAAAAAAAAAAAAGTTCTACACCTCAACCCACAGTTGATCCAGAGGAGCAAAAAAAACCAGCAAAGCATGATTAAATTTGCTACTGCAGGGAAAAAAAATCCCTGATCCCCCAAGAGGCAAGCGGATATTCCCTGGATCAACTTTACCTATAAATATTAGTATCCAGTTATATTCTGTATATCAAGGAATAATCCAGGCCTTTTTAAAGCAATCCATTGAGCTGGCCAGGACCAACTCTTGAGGGAGTCTATTCCACATTTTCACAGCTCTCACTGTGAAGAAACCTTTCCGTGTTTGGAGATTATATTTATTTTCCTCCAGACGTAAAGAGTGCCCCCTTGTCCTCTGATGACCTCAGGGTGAATAGCTCTACACTGAGTTCACTATATGAACCACTGATGTATATATTATACATGTTGATCATATCTCCCCTTAATCTCCTCTTCTCAAGAGAGAATAAATTCAGTTCCTCTAATCTTTCCTCATAGCTGAGCTCCTCCATGCCTCGTATCAGTTTGGTTGCCCTTCTCTGTACTTTCTCCAGTTCCCCAATGTTCTTTTTGTGAATTGGTGCCCAAAACTGAACTGCATATTCCAGAAGAGGTCTTACTAATGATTTGTAGAGGGGTAAAATGATATATCTCTCTTTCTGGAGTCTATACCTCTTTTAATACAAGAGAGGATTTTGCTCGCTTTAGAAACCACAGCTTGGCATTGCATGCCATTAATAAGACTGTGATCTACCAGAACTCCCAAATCCTTTTCCACCATTGATTCCCCCAGTTGTACCCCCCCTAGTATGTATGATGTATGCATATTCTTAGCCTCCAAGTGCATAACCTTACATTTATCAACACTCATTTGCCACATAGTTGCCCAATTAAACAGTGCATTGAGGTCAGCTTGTAAGTTGAAGAAATCCTGTTATTTCACTGCACAGCTTGGTGTCATCTACAAAGACTGAAATGGTATTTTTAATCCCAGACCCTATATTGTTTATAAATATATTAAAAAGTAAGGGTCCCAACACTGAACCTTGGGGTACACCACTGACAACCCTTGACCATTCAGAGTATGAATCATTAACCACTACTCTGAATACAATCTTTTAGCCAGTTTTCTATCCATTTACATACAGATTTTTCCAAGCCATAGACTTTACCTTACACATTAGCCTTGTGTGGGGAACTCTGTCAATTGCTTTTCCAAGATCCAAGTATACCATGTCCACCACCACCCCTTTTGCTCACCTCCTCATTAAAATAAATCAGATTTGTTTGACAACTTCTGTCTTTCATGAATTCCATGCTGTCTATATATAAATGATTCTTCCATATTTCACAATAAATCACCCCTATTTTACCCCCACCTCCTAATTGGGCAACAAATGTGGAAAAGAGGCATTCCCCCTCCAAAAAAAAACCCGTCTCTGTTCGGTAACACCGCTTGCAGTTTAAGGGCTCATTCACACCATTTGTGGTACACAAATGCATGCAAAATCAAGCGATTTCCTACACTTCACAAAAACTGTCTGCCCTTTTCCAGACATATTCAGGTGCCATTCATTTTTAATAGCACCTCCATGCATGTAGCAAATGTGTGCATTCGTGTCAACCAAAATGCATTGTACCACAGTGCCATGTGGTTTGGTATCGGCACCTTTTTTGTGTGTTTCTCACTCCTATACAGCCCTTTGAAATTAATATGCTGCCCTAAAACACGACATATGGTAACGTGCAAAAAAGTGCCTGTGCTTGGATGAACCTCTTGGTGTGAACGAGCCCTAAGGCATTCCCCAAGCATGTTTTTATTAAAGGAATTGTGTGTTTCCATTGTTGCCCCTAAAGCTACATGAAAATAACTTCTCCCAGTGTAAAGTAATTTTTATTTGTTTTTGCATTGCCCAGCTTCCATGCCCCTTTTTGCCAAAATCTGCCTTTTTTGCCTTAAATATGGTCAGAATTTAGTCCCAAGATTCCTCTCCTATAGACTTTATTTGGGTTTAACGCGAAGTTCGGGGTTTGCAGACTTCAAGCTGAGTTCGACAAATTTCTTGTAAACAGGGCAGATTTGCTCATCCTTACTTTACCATACAGTATGTTAGAGGTTTTAGACTATTAAGCAGAAAACTATTATCATTTTGTACTTCAGGGAAGAAATAAAACTGCCCCATGGCAGTCTGATATTGTCAGATTTTTGGACATCTTCGTAAGTGTCTGTGCTAATTGCAACCCATTTTCAAGGTGACCTCATAATAGTGCTGTCCGACTCATTTGTCATGTTGGTCTCAAGCAAAAAAAGACCCAAAGTTACCCTCATCTCTATTAGACGTCGGCAATTCAGATATTAAAATATACATTTGATATGCAATTAGCTATAATTAGGAAGCTTCACATCAATAAGGTGTCAACATCAGATTGTTTAAGATAAATGTTCAATGTCTGTGGTTAAAAATTGTTCTTGGCCTGACACTTTTGTATGACATGAAGTTCTAATTTAACTTTTTTTTATTTCTCCTTATTATGCATGCTTAGTATTATTGTGTCATTCATATACTGTGCTGACAGAGTGCAAAGGGTGTTAAAATTCCGCTTTTAAAGTAAAAAGAGAATTAATCTACCAATGTCCAATTAGTCAGAAGGTTCTCAATGGTCTCCACAGGGTACTCAACTCTAATAAGTAGTTATCTCTTTGGTTGGAACTCTTTTATAATGCTGTCAATTGCTTAACATTTTGGCAGAAGAGACTTCAGGATTGCAATAAGTTTGTTTGACAGAGAGCAGCTTTTACATGAGTGATTGGGAAAAGTCCTTCAATCTGTAGGCAAGCCTGGCAGTGAATGAATAATAGTCCTGACTGCATTTTAACAATTGCCAATTTGTCAATGCTATTTCTTGTTAAGGATCCGTAAACTTATAAATTCATTACATTTATAAAAGTATTTTTGGCATACCTAGGCATGGATATAAAGGCTTCACAAATCTGTCCATTCTAATTGTGCTCTGCATTTTCTATATATTGCATAATGCTATCTGCTATATCAGTTTTTCTCCTGCCTCTCTGTGTTTCTTTTTATATGTATGCAAGTATGTACAGTATATAGGTGTGTGTATAAAATATACTTTACATCTGTGTGTTTTACCTGTGTTTTATGTAATTGAGAAAGGATCTTCATGGATCCAAAACTTATTGGACTGCATTCCTATATATATATATATATATATATATATATATATATATATATATATACACACACAGAGCTCATCATATATGAGTACACCCCAACAGATTTGTCAAAGAACCTTTCCTTTCAGAATCAACATTTTCTATGGGCAACTATACTACAAAATACTCCCACAAATGCGGGCATTGATCGCAAACAAGATTTGTTAACTTGCAAACACGAAAAAATATTTTTCCTAACAACTTAATTCAAGACCATATTACAAAAATGAATACACCCCAATTGAAGTCTTAGGAGCAAAGCTAAATTTTAGACAAGAAAATCCTAATTAACAAGAATTCAACTACAGGTGAGTCTAATTATTCATTAAACAGGTGCCCAGCAGACAGTTGATTATATACAAGGACATCACTTAACAAAGAAAACCCCTTCCCATTTCATGCTGTCAGCAATGGCACCACATGGAAGAAAAATGTCACAAGACCTGAGAAAGGAAATATTTTCTTTACACAAGAAAGGTAACGGCTACAAGAAGATCAGGAAAGCTTTACTTATCAGTCAGAATACTGTAGCAAAAGTGATACAAAAAGTTTACAAAGATAGAACTGCAACCATCTCACAGAGATGACCAGGCCGTCCATGGAAGTTAACACCTCGACAGGAGCATCTTCTGATGAGAAGGGTTTAAAATCACCATGCAATTTCACTGCGGTTAGTTAAAGAAATTGAAAGATAAACTAAGGTGATTGTTTCCCGTGACACAATATGGCGTACACTGCAGAGGAATGGCATGCATGGGTGTCGTCCACGAAAGAAGCCTCTCCTAAAGCCCATGCACTAAAAAGGACCACCTAGAATTTGCCAGGGCCCATGCTGAAAAAGAAGACTACTGGGATTCTGTACTCTGGAGTGATGAGAAAAGATAAATGTTTTTGGAGCTAATGGCTTCAATACTGTATGGCAACTAAAGGTGAGGAGTACAAAGAAAAATGCGTGGTGTCCACAGTGAAACATGAAGTCCTCTTGTGGAGCTGCATGAGTGCTGCTTGTCAGGGAGCTGCATTTCATTGATGGTATCATGAATTCACAGATGTACTGCTCTATATTGAAAGAGAAGATGCTACCATAACTCCTTCCCCATGGTCGTCATGCAATTTTCCAACATAACAATGATCCAAAACACACATCTAAGGCCACTGTTGCATTTCTGAAGAAAGTGATTCAGTGGCCAAGTATGTCTCCTGATCTGAACCCAGTCAAACACCTATGGGGAATTCTGAAGAGAGCATCACTCTCAATCCAGCATCCAGGCTCCAAAAGAGGTCATTCTTGAAGAATGGAAAAAGATAGATGTTGCAATATGTCGTCAACTTGTTCATTCTATGTCTAGAAGACTTGGTGCTGTCCTTACAAATCATGGAGGTCATACAAAATACTAGATGTAGTAGTTTTTGTTGTGGGGTATATTCATTTTTTGCATCAACTAATATGCGTAAAACTGAAGATTTAAGTTATTAACCTTACTTTAAAGCAATGAGCTAAACAAATGTTCCATAAAACTCAGTTTTGTCAAAATTTGGGAAATTGTTCTTTGAGATATTGATTATTAGGAAGTGTTCATTGAGATATTGATTAAAATCTTACTTTTCAAAAGGGGTGTACTCACTTATGCTGAGGTGTGTGTGTGTGTGTGCGCGCGCGCGCTTAAGCAGATTATAGCATCACATCAATTAAACTCCTGGGATATTGATCAGGTCAGTTAAGTAGCAGAGGGGGTTGTTAATCAGTTTCAGTTGCTTTGGTGTTAATTAAATTAACAACAGGTGCACTAGATGGGCAACAATGAGACAGCCCCCAAAACAGGAATGGTTTTACAGGTGGATGCCACTGACATTTTTTCCCAACTCATCTTTTCTCACTTTTTTCACTAGTTTTGCAGTTGGTTAGGGTCCGTGCCACTACTGGTAGCATGAGGCAATACCTGGACCCTACAGAGGTTGCACAGGCACTCCAACTCCTCCAGGACGACACACCAATATGTGCCATTGCCAGAAGGTTTGCTGTGTCTCCCAGCACAGTTTCAAGAGCACGGAGGAGATTCCAAGAGACAGGCAGTTACTCTAAGAAAGCTGGACAGGGCCATAGAAGGTCCTTAACCCATCAGCAGGACTGGTATCTGCTCCTGTGTGCAAGGAGGAACAGAATGAGCACTGCCAAAGCCCTACAAAATTACCTCCAGCAAGCCACTGGTGTGAATGTCTCTGACCAAACAATCAAAAACAGACTTCATGAGGATGGCCTGAGGGCCCAGCATCCTCTAGTGGGCCCTTTGCTCACTGCCCGGCACCATAGAGCTCGATTGGCATTTGCCATTGAACACCAGAATTGGCAAGTCCACCAATGGCACCCTGTGCTTTTCACAGATGAGAGCAGGTCTGGAGAATCCGTGGAGAACATTATGCTGCCTGTAACATCATTCAACATGACCATTTTGGTGGTGAGTTAGTGATGGTCTGGGGAGGCATATCCATGGAGGGACGCACAGACCTCTACAGGCTAGACCAGTGGTCGGCAAGCCGCGGCTCGCGAGCCACATGCGGCTCTTTACAAGCTTAAATGCGGCTCTTCTGTGTGCCGGGCGCCCGCTCCCCTCCCTCCTCTCCCTCCTCTCGGACGGGCGTGTGCAGGGCGGCCGCCCCCTCCCCTCCCCTCCCTCCTCTCGGACGGCCGCCCGCTCCCCTCCCTCCTCTCGGGCGGCCGCCCCAAAAGTCAGGACTCTGCAGCTGTCAGGATGTAGGCGGGGCAGCCAGGATGTAGACGGGGCAGCGTGACGAACTCCTCTCCTCTCACAGTTCGCCCTGAAGACCAGAACGGCGCGGGAAGCACGGCGAGAGGAACGCGCGGAGCAAAGGTAAGTGAATTGACACAGGGGGGACTTACTATATGGGGGATGAATTACTATATGGGGGACTTACTATATGGGGGGACTTACTATATGGGGGATGAATTACTATATGGGGGATGAATTACTATATGGGGGGGGACTTACTATATGGGGGGGGACTTACTATATGGGGGGGGACTGACTATATGGGGGGGGACTTACTATATGGGGGACTTACTATATGGGGGATGAATTACTATATGGGAGATGAATTACTATGGGGGGGATGAATTACTATGGGGGGGATGAATTACTATGGGGGATGAATTACTATGGGGGATGAATTACTATATGGGGGATGAATTACTATGGGGGATGAATTACTATATGGGGGATGAATTACTATATGGGGGATGAATTACTATGGGGGATGAATTACTATATGGGGGATGAATTACTATATGGGGGATGAATTACTATGGGGGATGAATTACTATATGGGGGATGAATTACTATATGGGGGATGAATTACTATGGGGGATGAATTACTATATGGGAGATGTATTTTCAGTTTTAAAAATGTGGCTCTCAAAATAAATTTCAATCGTGGTTTTGGCGAGATTTGGCTCAGTTGAAAAAAAAGGTTGCCCACCACTGGGCTAGACAATAGCACCCTGACTGCCATTAGGTATCGGGATAAAATCCTTGGACCCATTGTCAGACCCTACACTGGTGCAGTGGGTTCTGGGTTCCTCAAGGTGCACAACAATGCCCAGCCTCATGTGGCGAGAGTATGCAGGCAGTTCCTGGAGGATGAAAGAATTGATACAATTGAATGGCCCCCACGCTCGCTTGACCTAAATCCAATAAAACACCTCTGGGATATCATGTTTCAGTCCATCCGACGCCTCCAGGTTGCACCTCAGATTGTCCAGGAGCTCAGTGATGCCCTGGTCCAGATTTGGGAGGAAATACCCCAGGACACCATCGGTCGTCTCAATAGGAGCATGCCCTGAAATTGTCAGGCATGCATACAAGCAGTTGGGGTACCATACAAACTACTGAGTAACATTTTGAGTTGCTTCAATGAAATTTCAGCAAAATGGACTAGCCTACTGCATAATTTTTTTTCACTTTAATCTTCAGGGTGTCTTTGAAATCAGTCCTCTGTAGGTTGATAATTTTCATCTCCATCGAACAATGGGACATGATTACGTACCTGACACATCACCCAGACCATATCAGTATAGATATCCAGCATGATTTTTTTCCCCATCAAGATCTGATGTTTGTTCAAAGTGTTAATTTTATCGAGCTGTATTATATATACAGTGGGGATCGAAAGTTTGGGCACCCCAGCTAAAAATTTGTATTAATGTGCATAAAGAAGCCAAGGAAAGATGGAAAAATCTCCAAAAGGCATCAAATTACAGATTAGACATTCTTATAATATGTCAACAAAATTTAGATTTTATTTCCATCACTTACACTTTCACAATAACAGAAAACAAAAAAAAATGGCATCTGCAAAAGTTTGGGCACCCTGCAGAATTTATAGCATGCACTGCCCCCTTTGCAAAGCTGAGACCTGCCAGTGTCATGGATTGTTCTCAATCATCGTCTGGGAAGACCAGGTTATGTCAATCTCAAAGGTTTTAAATGCCCAGACTCATCTGACCTTGCCCCAACAATCAGCACCATGGGTTCTTCTAAGCAATTGTCTAGAAAACTGAAAATAGTTGACGCTCACAAAGCTGGAGAAGGCTATAAGAAGATAGCAAAGCGTTTTCAGATGTCAATATCCTCTGTTCGGAATGTAATTAAGAAATGGCAGTCATCAGGAACAGTGGAAGTTAAAGCAAGACCTGGAAGACCAAGAAAAATATCAGACAGAACAGCTCGCAGGATTGTGAGAAAAACAATTCAAAACCCACGTTTGACTGCACGATCCCTCCAGAAAGATCTGGCAGACACTGGAGTTGTGGTACACTATTCCACTATAAAGGGGCACAGAATTTAATGAAAAGAACCTCTGTCCAACTGTTAAGCATGGGATTGGATCAATCATGCTTTGGGGTTGTGTTGCAGCCAGTGGCACAGGGAACATGTCACGAGTAGAAGGAAAAATGGATTCAATAAAATTTCAGCAAATTTTGGATGGTAACTTGATGCCATCTGTGAAAAAGCTGAAGTTAAAGAGAGGATGGCTTCTACAAATGGATAATGATCCTAAACACACCTCAAAATCTACGGGAAATTACATCAAGAGGCGTAAACTGAAGGTTTTGCCATGGCCTTCACAATCTCCTGACCTCAACATAATTGAAAATCTGTGGATAGACCTTAAAAGAGCAGTGCGTGACAGACAGCCCAGAAATCTCAAAGAACTGGAAGACTTTTGTAAGGAAGAATGGGCAAAGATACCTCAAACAAGAATTGAAAGACTCTTGGCTGGCTACAAAAAGCGTTTACAAGCTGTGATACTTGCCAAAGGGGGCAGTACAAGATATTAACTCTGCAGGGTGCCCAAACTTTTGCAGACGCCATTTTTTTGTTTTCTGTTATTTTGAAAGTGTAAATGATGGAAATAAAATCTAACTTTTGTTGACATATTATAAGAATGTCTAATCTGTAATTTGATGCCTTTTGGAGATTTTTCCATCTTTCCTTGGCTTCTTTATGCACATTAATACAAATTTTTAGCTGGGGTGCCCAAACTTTCGATCCCCAGTGTATATATATATATAATGTGTGTGTTAAAGTGTATGTCTGAAAGTTAAGTAAATAAAACATATTTAATACATGCACACTTCTTATATGTTTTATCCCTTTACAAATACTGCATGTGCAGAAAAGAAATACAATCGTATCTTCTAGAAATCCAGTGAGCTCCACACTTACTGCAGTGAGCTGGGTCCCCTGCTGGATTTAAGAACTTCTCCCCCTCTGCTCATCACCCTAACATAAGGGTAGGTGTTCTGTAGTCTGGCAGCAGAGGGCTGACAACACTAATTTACATTTGAATGCAGCAGAACAGGATGTTAGGCGTTCCCCTTTCTGGCAGGATCAGCTGATTTATTTCTGAACTTGTAGCATTTATAAAAGGATAAAACATGGGAAATTATGCATGTATTGCAAAGATGTACTAAGTATTATTTTCTTATTTTTCCCAGCTATTTGTGTTTGTTATGGCTGGCCTGATCTCCCTGCCAAAGTCTGCAGACCTTATATAGAAGGTGATCAATCATGCCCACTTTTACTCAAAAGCAAGTTGTCACTTATGGACAGACTTATACAATATGTTGAATTTTTTTTTTGGGGGGGGAGAACAAGAAAATGCAATAATTTAAATTGGTAAGAAGGAAAAAATTGCTATGACTTAATAAGAAAACAGCAGGACAATTGAGGATTCTAGTACAGCTTTCAAAAGTGTTAAGATTTGTCTGGATATATTAAACATACAAGTGTGTTTGTAAAGTACTCATATTTATTGAATGTGCTTCTCCCCACCATCAACATCAAATGCTTGCTAATATAATGTGAGTGTTATAGTGCAATTTCACTTTTTTCCACATTATATGCGTTAATTAACAATGCTTTCCTCATTTGAATGCTGAATCTAGTCTGTTGAATAACTGTGTGGTGACATATCCTTTCCATGTCGATTGGGCACCAGTTGACAGTAATTAGCAGTTTGTAGCTATTTTAATTATATTTCTAATAAAGTGGTCTCTGAACACAGCATTTGTGCAAATGGAAGAGAAGTACTTTGGCTGCTGTTGAAGTTGGTAAGTCCTACTCAGTGGAGATAAACAACGAGCATCTGTTATTGTATCCCTTTCCAGCTTGGCTTTTACCTTTTACATACATCAATCCCCAGTCAAGGTTATGTAGAGTGAGGTTCACTGGCTATGATGTGTACACAGGAGATGAAACACAAAACACAACCTAAGATCATCCAACAAAATATTACTCACAACAGCTGCTCCAATTTATTTATCCTCCAGAAGACCTACAAAATTATTTTAATACAGTATTTATTTGTAATAGATTTCAGTAAGTATTTCCATTGACTGCTATTACATGGTCTAAAGTATACTTTCCATCCTAAAATATAACCATGAAGGCATTCTGGCATTTTTAACGGCAAAACCACTCTTTCAGAACAACTCTATTCTGTCAAAGCCATTGTCCCATATTTTCAAGTAAAGACACAGGTGTGTTTATCCTGAAAAGGCTTTGTGCAAATTATCTTTATAGGTCTATATGTATGTGTGCTACATAGTAGTGGATCTGGTTTGTAAAACCTAGTACACACGTTCAGAAAATCATATGAAAAAAACTGCTTTCCAAATGATCGTACGATAATCTGATCGTTAGTACACAGCTTTCATCCCAAATTATTTGAAGGGACAAGCACAAAAACTTTTCTCGTGCGATACGGGATTATACAATTTTTATTTAATCAGTACAGTTTTCATCCAAAAATACAAATTACATCACTTCCAAATTTTCTTCTTTCTGTCATACAAGAATTTTCGTAACTATAGTAAGATATTCACTTTCGATATGAGATTAGCATGCAAAAAAGAAACGGACAATCATTCATCCAATATTCTCATTGTGTGTATGTTGCATAAGTGTGCCAATGGTTAATTAAAGGTCAGCTGCACCCAAAGTAAGTGTTTTAGCTTTTTTTGTTTTGTTTTTTAATAGGCACTGGCACATTGAATCTCCTGCTTACTCTCTACTCTTGTCAGGGATCTCACTGGTTACATTTCCTTACTTTTTTGTATCTCTGTGTATAATAAATACATGATAAACGTTTCACTATCCATTACCATTTGTTTATTGCATACTGTAGAAAATCCGTCAGAATAAAATGATGCCATCATTTAGCTTTGCATTATATAATTCTAGTTGGATTATCTCGCCACAGGAGTTTGAGAGAGTAAAGTTAACAAAATAAAAATTTTAATTTGCCATTAATCACTCAAAATGAAAATATCAGTTTCAGGTGAAGTTAGTCATTAAATAGTCACCTTAAAATATGCATTATTTCTAAATGTCTTTTAGAGAGACCTTGAGAGACTACAATTCTTACTTACAAAACTGCACTCTGTTAAAGCAGCCAGTTTTGTTCACTGTAATATTCTAACTTGTTTTTAAAAGAAAAGCAGCTCTATTCTCTTCCTGCTCTATCCCACATCTTCAATATCCCCCTCTCCAATGGCACCTTTCCCTCTCCTCTCTAACTTGCACTGGTTACCCCCTTGCTTAAAAAACTTTCACTTGGCCTCACCTGTTTGAACAATTTAAAACCCATTTCTCTGCTCCTGTTTGCCTCCAAGCTTCTTGAACACCTTGTCCACAACCATATGAGTTGCTACTTCACAGATAACAAGCTTCTCGACCCCCTACAGTCTGGTTTCCGTCCACAACATTCCACTGACACTACCCTACTAAAACTCACTAATAACCTACTAACTTATAAAACCACTGGCCATTATGCCATGCTCATACTTTTAAACCTTCCCGCTGCCTCCGATGCAGTCGACTACTCACTCCTCCTGCTCAATAAAGTTCACTCCCATTGACCTCTACAACTGTGCTCTTTCCTGGTTCTCCTCCATCCTATCTCAGCCCACCTTCAGTGTCACATACAACTTTATATCCTCTGTTCCTCTTTCTGTTGGTATTTCCCAAGGCTCTGTCCTTGGGCCTCTCCGTACTCTCTCTACACCTCTTGTCTGGACCGTTGATAACCTCCCACAGCTTTCAAGAACACCTCTACTCCAGCGAAACCCAGGTCTATCTTTGTATTCCCCAACTCACCCCCTTAATCTCTTCACGCATTACCAATTATACTGAGTGATATATCAGTATAGGTGTCACACCATTTCCTCAAACAAAAAAATGTGCTTGTTATGTTTCCTCCTCACCGATCCCCCCTCATGACTACCATTTGGATCAATAGCACAATTATTGGTCCCTCCACACATATCAGGGTGTTAGGTTTAATCCTAGACTCTGATCTTTCCCTCAGGCCCCACATCCAATCACTGGCTAAATCTTGACACCTTAACCTCTGCAACAGTTCCAAAATTTGCCCTTTCTTAACTAAGGACACCACAAAAAACATATACAATCCCTGGTTATCTGTTGCCTTGACTACTGCAACTCCCTTCTCACTGGCCTATCTTTACATATTCTCCCTTCAGTCTATCATGAATGCTGCTGCTAGTCTTATACACCTTACTAACCGATCCATGGCTACTGCCCAGCTCTGACAATCCCTTCACTGGATTCTGCTAGCTGTATAAAATTCAAAATACTAACCACAACATAGAAAGCTATCCACAACACTGCCCCTCACCATCCTCATCTGCTTCCTCTCCGCTCCTCCCAAGACATCTTGCTCTCTAGCTTCTTGTTACCACTTCCCATGCTTGACTCCTCCACAACCTCTTCCATCCTCTGGAACTCCTTACCCCAGTATGTCTGGTTAGCTCCTACCCTGTCTGCCTTTAGGTGATCCTTGAAAACTCATTTATTTAGGGAAGTCTACCCTACCTCCACCTAAAAACTGTACTTTGGCCACCTCCATCAGATCATCCCCAGCAGTTTTTACCTTTTGTATTATTTTCCTCTCCCTTTAGAATGTAAGCTCCATGAGCAGGACCATCCTAATCCTTCTGTATTGAACTGCATGCTGTACTAACTGTTGGCGCCTATATTAATCCTGTATTATAATAATAATAAGCTGCTGAGTTGATGTTTGCAGTTAATACTTGTTTTTGAGTGTAAAATGACTCCTTTAGTTAATTTAGACTCTAAATTTATATCTAATAACATTAAACAAAACTTTATTGAGTAAAATATGGAGGTTGCCATTGCTGACGTTCTGAATGCTAGTTGCCTGGCTGTAATAGTAATATCTGTCTTCATTACTTTGACTCATTGACCTAGAACTAATTTGCACCAAAAATGCAGAGCCTACTTATAACTACTTATTGGCAGTATATTTCAAGTCAGTATGAGAGTGTTGCATTAATCGGTATCACAGCGAGGAAATTAGCATTTTTGGAAAGATTAGCAAATGCAAGACCCCATGTACTTCTCTTAGAACTGGTTTTCTATAAAGTAAAAAATACTGTATTTATATTGAATTATTGTATAAATGGTGTAGTGTTAAAATGCATATATATGTGTTCATCCAGTGTGCATATGTGCAAATTTAAGCAAAACTGAAAAAAAAAAAAGACTCATATGTTGAGCCTACCAGTAGATCTGTTATTTATCCATAACTGTAACAGGCCAGGCTGTAGTCCATGTCCCACCTGTTAAATGGTCAGAACAGCTGATTAGCAAAGGGGGCATTTACTGCAGCAAATTAGATAGATACCACTGTCCCACAGAGTCAGGATCTGGTGGTCACCGTGTCCATGAGAAAAAAAGAAAAAAAAAAACACCTTAGAGTGAAAGCAGAACATGGCAGGAAAAGCAGGTATTT